GCCGGCGGACCACCATAACACGGTAGACCAGCAAGGCGGACCAGAGCAGCAAGGCAGACCACAAGAGCACATCAGACGAGCATGGCAGGCCACAGGAGCACGGCTCTCCAGCACGGCTGACTGTTTTCTTTGTTGAGCGGCTTCGACGTGGAGCAGGCCGTCGCAGGGTCGGACGAAGGTGTCGGCAGTATTGTGCTCGGCCAGGACGGGATGCTTGGTGGGGGACTTCTCCGCGTCCTCGCACGAGCTCGCTGCACCCGTAGAAGGTTCTCAGCCTATTATGTCTTATGGGGGTGCGACGGAGGTGAGGGCATCTCCCGCGACCTGTGTCGTTTGGGGATGCGACGGAGGTGTGGGCACCCTCCGCGACCTCACATCATGGCGGTGCGTTGCCAGGGGGACCAGTTCACGCACTTGGGAAAGATAGTGAATTCGACGCGCCACATGTTCAGCAAAGCAACGGTGCGGCCGACGAGATCACAGGGGATCCAGCCCCTGCATGAAACCATCTTGGGAACGGGGATGCAGCCCCCGTCCAGGTCTGAGCTCCCGGGTTTCTGTGGACACTGCCAGCTGCATAACGCCGACTACAACATCACCTGTGCCATGTGCGGCGCGCCGCTCGACGTCAATCACCATTCTGGCGAGGTGGACCCCTCCGACGGTTCCGGCATCGTGAACATGGGGGCTCCCGTATTACTGCCTGATGCTGCTCTCGACCCAGGCCACCGCGACAGCGACATCATCAACGATTCCGAAGACACGAACCTCGTCTCCTCCGACATCCAGGCCACGAGCGCCCGCCAGGCGATGAGTGGCAGGCCCTGCCGCGGCGCGGCGCCCACTGCGGCGAGAGGGAGAACGCACGCACTGGAGACGATCGCTCCTCCTCTTCCTCCTACTGTTCTTCCTCCCTCGTTTCGTTCCTCCTCGTGCTCGCACTCCTCACCTGTTCCTTTTTTTCCTCACGCTTGAGTTCCTACTAGTTTTCATCATACTCGCATCGCTGCCCTCCCCGTCATCCACGCTGTTATCCTCGTCGTCCGCCGCCTTGTCGTCGTCATCGCGCTTACGAGCCCAATGGACAACATCGGCGCTTCCCGTTCTTGTGCGATCAGGTGTTCAGTCCCGGGAGACCTTACTGGGCCTCTGGGCCTCCCAGAAACGACAAGGGAGTAGACACCGGTCCCGGGGAACGCGGGAGACATTTTGGGGTCGACTTGATGCCGTCGTGGGTATGAGTCCGCCGTTTGTTCTTTTTCCTTGCTCTTGCTGGTGCTGTTGACGCGTGGCGCCCAGCGTTTGTTCACCTAGCTGACTTGGCAGTCCAGCAATTATTCACGACGACGCTGGAAGTTTGGGCTTCGTTATTTTGCGGGGAAAAAGTCCACGTCGTTTTCGTCCGAACGCCTTCGAAGTCGCAACTTTACCAGGGCCTTTCTCATCTCAAGTCGTCTGTTGTCGTCGCCGCCGACGCCGCCGTTGCCCATTCTCCTCCGACGATGCAGCTTTTTCGTGACGTGCCCCTCGGGAATCTCGATCTATTATCTTGGGTCGTTCTCTCAGCCCGTCCTGACTTCAGATCCGCCGTTCTTCGGGCGATGTCGCAAGGAGGGCGGAAGTCCCCGACCTACTTTTCAATATCTTTCTTGATGTGGCTTCCCTTCTGGTTTTGCCGTCGCTGTTCCCGCCACTCTGTTGACAACAGCTTCGGCTTACTTCTCTGAGGCTGAGATGTCCGCCTTACTGTTTTGCATCGATCGGGGTGCATTTCGGACATAGTTCGAAATGCGGAACCCTACCAAAGCACGGCGGATCAGAAGCCAGGCCCCGCTCTAATATTTTGAATCCCAGGACGAGGTTGGAGGGTCTCGAGGTTTGAGGTTTTCGGACATGTTCGATGGTGCTCGGTCTTCTAACCTCGGGATGCTCTCCAGCAGTTGCGCCTCGCCGAGAGCTTTCTTGGGGTACCCAGATCGTCCCGATAGGCCGCAGGAAGCCAGGGTTATAGCCCGAAGGCAGACCCCGTCGAGTCGTGTAGGTTCTACGTAGGTTCAGGCAAGTTTCGGCAAGGTTGTTGTTGTAGGTTCGGGCAAGGTGCGATAGCATGTTGTGGTAGGTTGGGGAAGTTCACTTGTATGGTATTCCCCTCCCCTCCGTTGCCTTTTCAAGCAACGCTGGGCCGAACAGGCGTGCAAGAGAGTCCTCAATAACGGAAAGAGCGTGTTCTACCGCTGCTGGCGGAAAACCGGGGGGGGTCACTACCGGTTCGAACCCCTCCCCCCCCCCCCCCCCCCCCCCCCCTCCGGAAAACCGGGGGGGGTCACTACCGGTTCGAACCCCTCCCCCCCCCCCCCCCCCCTGCTCATCATGAAAAGGGGGGGGGGTCACTACCGGTTCGAACCCTTCCCCCCCCCCCCCCCCCTCCGGATCCGGAAAACCGGGGGGGGTCACTACCGGTTCGAACCCCCCCCCCCCCTCGAAAACCGAGTGGGGGTGCGGACAGTGGTGGGGACGGTGTTGGTGGGGACAGTGGTGAGGGGATAGCGGGACAGTGGTGGGGACAGTGGGACAGTGGGACAGTGGTGGGGACGGTAGTGGTGGGGACAGTGGTGGGGACAATGGTGGGAACAGGGGGGGACAGTGGACAGTGGTGGTGACGGTGGTGGTGGGGACAGTGGTGTGGGGACAATGGGAATGAGGTGGAAACAGTGGGACAGTGGAGGGTACAATGGTGGTGGGGACAGTGGTGAAGGCGGTGGCGAGGACGGCGGTGGGACAATGGGACAGAGGTACAGTGGGGACAGTGGTGGGGACAGTGGTGGGAACAGTGGGACAGCTCAGTGGGACAGCGGAGGAGTCAGTGGGACAGTGGGGACAGTGGGGATAGTCGGGCAGTGGTTGGGGCCGTGGAGACAGTGGGGAGAGTGGAACCGTGGTGGGAACAGTTCTGGGGACAGCGGGGACAGTGCGACAGTGGTGGGGCCACTGGTGGGGACAGTAGGGGCGGTGGTGGAACCAGTGGGGACAGCGGTGGTGAGGACAGTGGTGCTGGGAACACCAGTGGGGGATGTGATGCGGACGGTGGTGGGGACCGGGAGTCGTTTGCTGGCGGTGAGTAGGGGGAGGGGGGGGGGGGGGGGGGGGGGGGGGGGGGGGGGGGGTTTGAACCGGTAGTGACCCCCCCCGGTTTTCCGGATCCGGAGGGGGGGGGGGGGGGGGAGGGGTTCGAACGGTAGTGACCCCGGTTTTCGAGCGGTAGGGGGGGGGGGGGGGGGAGGGGGTTAGGGGAGAGGGGGGGGTTTTGCCGGGGGAAGGGGGGGGGGGGGAGGGGTTAGGGAGGGGTTCCAGCAGGGGGGGGGGGGGGATTTTCGGAGGGGGGGGGGGGGCGACCCCCGGGTTCCGGAGGAAAAAGTTGGCAATTTTCCACAGTAAAGCGGCGGTGGATCACGCTCTCTCCAATAACGTGAAGCCCAGATTTCCTTCTGGGCCTCGCCACGCCCCCCCCTCCCCTCCATGCAAGCAAGATTTGTGGAAAAGCCGTTTGCAATCCCAGATCTACGACGATCTGATTCTCAATCCTGCGGATGGATCCCAGACCCCCTCGCGTCGTCGGCCACGACAGGGGTTCAACGTGCCAGGTTGTCGGACGCCTTCGTGGATCCTCTGCGCTCTTGCAGCCTCGGGGGACTGCCAGCAACTGCGCCTCGCTGAGGGTGTTCTGGGGGTGCCCGGATCTTTCCGCTCGGCCGCCCCAGACCCAGACCCCTCGGGGCCCCTCGCGTCGTGCACGAAAATAAGACGGCCGGCTTGGGGCTACCGCCGACCTTTGCAGGCCCTCGCCGGGCCCCGGGACCGTCAACAAATTTCCCGGGATGAAGTGCCGGTCCCAGGGAATGTGTCCGGGCTCCCAGGGTCCACGTTGTGAAGCAAATTACGTCGCCAGGGGTCTGACGGTCTGGGCTCTGAGATCTCCAGTCGACAGTACAGTCCGGTACGTTTGCTTCGCGTGTCGCTCCGCCGGTTCTGGTCCACCACGCGTCGGCGCGATTCTCTAACCACGTCCCAGTCCCCAGGCGTCGACGTCCCAAGCTTTTCCCAGTCTCCCGTCCTACTAAGCGGCGGGACACGCCAAGGCTGGGACACGCTGAGTAGAAGTTCCTGACCGTAGGCTAGGACAAGTCGGTACAAACATATATTTTCGGGGCTCCGCACCGATTTCCTGGATCAGGTGTGGACCTCCCTGGCGGCGCCTCGGCGCGCCAGGGGGGTCCAGCGCTGATCCAAGAAAGCACTGCGAGCTCGGTGCTGCAGATGTATTTCTTTCATTGCAGCCATGGAGCTTTGGGCGTCTGTTTTTTTCCACACCTGGCGTGTTTACAGGGGCCAGTCGATGCGGCTGGAGAAGTGCCGCAGAAAGTCGGCGGTCGGGGGAAATGGTCGTAATGTTTTCGAGGTGTTACGTTTTGTGCGCGACGTCGGATATTAGGGGATTTCCGCACCATTTGCGCGGTAGGTGCCGCGCAACGGCGGCGGCCGCCGCGGCCACGCCGTGGCGGCACCTGCTGCGTGGAAGGCTGGAAGGGTGGAGGTCAGGGGTGGGAGGGGGAGAGAGGGGGCAAACGGAATGTACTTAGGGTAGATGCGGGCCTCCCGTGGGAGGGGCCCCGTCTCCACTGGTGGGTTCGCTTCGCCGTCGCAGTCAAAGCAGGCCCCAGGAGAGGTCTGCGTAAGGGCTCGAGTTTCCAGGAGGAGTCAAGAGAACGAGGAGGAGGAAGAGGAGGAGGAGGAGGACGACGACGACTGCTCATCTCTCCCGTGATCCATTTCTCCCCACAGCCACGACGGCATATTTGTTTCACAACGTCGACCCCCAAGGGTCCCGACCCACAGAACCAGTTTTTCATCCCGAGTGGCCGAACCTGGACAAACACCACCCATCGTTTTTTTTTTGTGACGACGCGAGGGGGTCGGGGTCCTCCCATCGCTCTCCATGCGAGGAAGGGGCAGCAGTCCCGGCGGAAGCCCTCCACCCGCACCCTGCTCCGCGACGAGTTCGCCATGCGGCAGGAGCCAGACGATGAGAGCGCCGAGGACGCGCCGTCGGGAGGGGGGGAGGGCGTTCCTCATCCTCATCCGCGTCCGTTTACTCTTCGCAGGCCACGAGGGCGACTAGAAGCTCCCTAGACGCCCTTGCGTCGTGAAAAAGGGTGCGGTGAGGTTTGGCTTTTGCTTTCTTAGGCCTCTGGAGGCGCTCCTGCTCCCTGGAACCAGGGGCCGTCAAAAAACGACTCGGTGTGAAAAGCCAGTCCCGGGGAGTGGTGTCGAGACCTTTCGGGGTCGAAGTTGTGAAAGCACGCGTGGTCGGGGGTCTGGGAACGCCCCAGGAGGCTGCCAAGAGACCTACCAGGACTTCGAGACGCCTCGCTTGCTTCGCTGTCGCTTCTTCCGCATCCCCTCTCGCTGCTTCGTTTTCCCCTTGTGTCCACATCCGCGCTCTTTCTCAGTTTCACGCCTGTACCCACGTGTTTGAAGGTCGGTGTTCGTGGCCCCGTCAGTTTTCGTCGGCATGCCGAGGGAGCACGAATCCTTTTTGTGTCTTACGTATGTTTCTATAGATGTTCCTTCCCCTGCGTATCCAATCCTAAGTGTTTTACCTATGTTCCTGTAGAGTTGGCCTCCCCATGGGGCGCGAGTCCTTGGTGTTTTACGTTTGACCTTCTCCTGCGGCTACAGCCCGGAGTCCTTTATGTTCGTCTGGTCCCACCTCTCTCTCTATATATGTTGGCTTGCTAATTGCAATATATATATATATATATATATATATATATATATATACATATGTATGTGTGCATGCATGTATGTATGTATGTATAGGTAGGTAGGTAGGTAGGTAGGTAGGTAGGTAGGTAGGTAGGTATGTATGTATGTGTCTGTCTGTATGTATGTATGTATGTATGTATGTATGTGTGTATGTATGTATGTATGGATTTATGTATGTATGTATGTATGTGCATGCATGCATGCATGCATGTATGTATGTATGTATGTATGTATGTATGTATATATATATATATATATATATATATATATATATATTGGGCCCGTCCTGGGGCACGAATCCTCCCCACGAGGCTCCAGGAGGCTCCAGGAGGCCCCAGATGGCCACACGAGAACCCATGAGGCCCCAAAAGGCTCCAGGAGGCCCCAGGAAGCCCCAGGAGATTTCAGGAGGCCCCAAGAGGCACCAGGCTCATGCGCAGAGGCCCGCTTATCAATCTACTGAGACTCAATCACACTCCAACCCATTCACAGTAAGATTCGCTCCCAGACCGTCAATACTCAAGCCCGATTATGTTCGAAAACTCTTCCGCCTAGACGCTCACAGCGGACATGTCCATGCTAATGGCTGCATATATGGGGAGCTACGCGCAGTGAGTAAGTATTATGTTTTTTGAGCTCTCTCTCTCTCTCTGGCTCTCTCTCGCTCTCTCTCTCTCTTTTTCTCTATGGCTCGCTCTCTCTCTCGCTCTCTCTCTCTCTCTAGTTCTCTCGATCTCTCGCTATATCTCTCTCTATATATGTGTGTATATATATATATATACATAGATCCCTCTCTCGTTCTCTCTCTCTCTCTCTCTGCGTGCATGATTCGGGTTGGCGGGGGAAAACGGCATGCACGCGGCAGAGATGATTCGTCCGAAGGGGAAACCCTCCTCCCCGCGCTCGTGTTCCCAGATCGTACTCCAGAGGCCGAGGGCGACTGCCGGGGGAGGGCTTCACGCGCTGGACCCGCAAGCGGCCGCCCCATCGCCTTCCAGGGCCGCCAGCAGAGCGCGCATGCGCATTCCGTGTGGTCGTGTGCATGGCCGAGCCCAGCGTCGCTCGTGCGGTTCGCAGCGACACAGTGGGCCGTCCGCATTCCCCCCCCCCCCCCGAAAGGTGGGCTCCCAGGGCTCGTGCAGAGTGGGAGCGGCCCCCCGCCAGTCATCCCTCCATTCCTTGCCCTTCCTGCTTCGCACCGTCGCGCCACTGCAGGCTGCCTCCATACCACCGCACCCGTCGGGGACCGTGCGCGGGAAAGAAAAAACAACATGCACACTCAAGTACATATATATATATATATATATATGTATCGATGACGCCTACGGCGGGTCTCCGCCGCCCCCTGCCTTTTGGAATCGCCCATGTGGCCGAGAGTTGTGGCAAGAGCTCTGCCAAGATATCGGACCATGTGTTCCCCCAGCCGTTGTGGAAACGCTTCGGGGAACACTTGGGGGAGGATGGCGTGGAAGGGCAGGAGGAGGAGGAGGAGGAGGAGGAGGAGGAGGAGGAGATCAGGAGCAGGAGGAAGAGGAGGAGGAGGAGGGGGCATCTTGGGAGCCTCTGGGGGCACCGCCGCCGCCCGCCACCCGACCTCAGGCCGACTCGTCCAGCACCGACGGCGGCGCCTGCCCCGACGCGTCGGAGCCGCGCCCCACCCCCCCCCCCCGCCGAGGCGTGCCCATCTCTGGGCGCAACAGGGGACCACAACCGCGGCTGAGTGGATTGTTCGGGAGGGCCCCTCAGGGGAGAACCCACCGACCTCGACATGAGCACTTGGGTTGTGGTTGTGGTCGATTTGGCCGTCCTGGGGCGCCACGCATACAGTACGACGCTGGGTTCGGTCTTCTGACAATTTCTGGGCTTGCGCAAGACATCCCTTCGGGTGTGTCGTCGATGTGGTTGTGGTCGCCTTGGTACGCCCGTGGTGAAACGCAGCACGTGCCGTGTTCAATACATCCGTGTTCACGCGCTGCAAGTGCATGTTGGTTCGGCACACGTCTTGGCGAACGCGCCGCCCCAGACCTGCGTGTTTGGTCTTCGTGTTGAGCTCCGTCTCGACACGCTACGCGTGGCGTGTTGCGTTCCTGGCCAGCTAACCTAAGCCCCCGACGCTGTGATGTTTTGGCAACGTCGACCCCCCAGAGGCCTGAGTCCCTTCCCAGGACCCGTTGTTCATCATGAGTTATTGTTAGACGGCCCCGAGGCCCGGAAGGGGTCCTCGGGATGCCGAAATTAGCGAAGCCCCCCTCCCCCATCGTGATTTGTTTTGCACCGCGAGTGGTCTGGGAGGGTGCTCAGATCTCTGACGATGCGATGTTTGCCAGTGCGGGCGTCGCCGTGAGTGAAGCGGGCTCTGAGCCCCGAGAGCAGCGGGCCCCAGGCTTTTTGTTGGCCGTTCTACGGCCCTGGGGGCCCCCCACGGGCCGAAGACCACTCGGGGCGAGAAGGTTGCAATTTTCAATTCCCAAGGATTCTTGAGGGCCCCCAGGGATTCCCAAGGATTCCTAGGAAGGGGGTCCCCAAGGATTCCTGCTGAACGCAGAGAACATGGAACCGAGAAGACCGAGGCCAGGGTCGACACCGAAAAGAGGTAGCGATGTGATTTGTTCAGTGCGGGTGGTGTCTCCTCGATGTGGGCCCATGGGCCCCCCTGGGACCGATAGCCACGGATACCGACAGACATTTACCGAGATTTGGAGATAGATATCGGCGGCTAGGGGGGGGAAGTGCGAAGGAGACGGCCCTCTCGGTAGGCGGCGAGGTTTCTCAGAAGCCCTCTGGCCTTCTGAGAAATGTTCTGTGTCTTCAGGGAAGGCTGCGAAAACGATTCAGAAGGCTGGGGAGCTTCTCGCCTTCTGAGAAGGCCCGCCCCTTCTCACTTCCCCCCCAGTCGCGCCGCCTTAGATAGATGGCGTGCCACATCTGGCGCCCATCGCAAGCCGAACGTTGCACCCATCCACACCCAACGCTCCTTCTCACCCGCAGGGTGGTCTATGCGACACCCTTTTGCCAATTCAGGAGTTTTTCCTCGGTGTCAGTCCAGAACAAATTCTTCCGACGGAGGAAAATCGGAGGAATGTGATTCCTTGACGCAGCGAAGTCGAAGGCGAAGGTGCCTCGCGGCACGATTGCGGACTAGCCACCGCACCTCTCGATTCCGTCGCGTGGCAACGCTGGAGGTCAGGCACAGACAGCCCCCCGAATGCGGTCCTGGCTGGCCTCAACAGGCCCTGGACTGCCCTCAGGGCCTGCTCGGGCCAGCCAGGACTAACTCTGGTGATGGTTGCGCGCAGCACAATCAGCCCTGCCAGCGTCTTCCAATGCTTCGACGGATTGCATGGTGCTCGGATTACCCGAAGCAGCGAAAGCGAGGTCCTCCGTTGGCCCCCGGGGCCCTCCTCTGCGCGGCAAGGCCCAACAGTCCATTCGTATCTGACCGCGGCAGTTGGCCCCGCGTGCCCCGCGCAGCCCCTCGTGGCCTTCCGTGTGCGGGGGGGGCCTGGAGGTCGGTTCGGCTGCCCTCACCGCAGGTGCTCCCTCGTGGCACTCTTGCGCGGGGCGAGGCCCAAGGTTCCATTCGGCCGCCTCGTAGCCGATGACCCCCTCGTGGTCATCCCTTCGGGCAGCGAGGCTCATAATCCGCCGTGGCGCTTGAGCGCGGCGCAGGTCCCAAGTGCCAACTCGGGTGCCTCCGTGGCCTTCCCTTGGCCCTTCCTGACCCTCGCGCGTTGGGGGGGGTCCACGGGTCGATCCCCTCGTGTGCGGGGTTGGCCCCAAGACGCGGCTCGTGGCACGGGGCCCCCTTGAGGCGACCGTGCTTGGCCGAGCCTCTGGATCGACGCGGCTGCGCCCGCGGCCGGCTTTCCTCTGTCGGTGGGCCCTCTCTGCTGGCGCCCGGCGTCGTCGTCATCGTCGTCGTACTTTGCCTCAGATCGGGCTGTATGGTGTGGATTTTCATGGGAGCATCAGAGAGTCTTAACATTCCTTGCGGTTTTGGGGATGTCGTCCAGATTGCGTCGGATCTGGTCGACATCTGGACGAAATCTGGACGAAGGGGTGAAGAGGGTTGGGTCGAAATTTGGGCGACATTTGGTCGAACTCAGGTTGATGACAGGGCCTCGGAGGTCCACAGAGGCTCCCATGAAGGCTCACCCAGTGGCTTACATGGAATGTCTTGTGCATGCAGGGCGATGTTTCGCCCAGTGGCCCTTCCCGTCTTTTAAACCAGCAGCAAGCGGTCTGCTTCAGGCGCTCACGCTTGCGATCGCGAGTAGGGGCGCAGTTCGACTAAGCGCCGAGATCCATGATGGAAGGGCCTCGTGTGTTAGATGCTCCATTGCAAACAGCTGTTGCGCAACGTCTGCAACGTGGCGTCCTCTTCGGCGGTGGCACCATAAACTAACCAGTTTGCAGCAAGGCAGGGTGTAGCGTCCACACGTCGATTGGCCTCCAGCGTTTACCCCTGAGCGGCGCTGTCGAGCGAGGGAGAGGGAGAACGCGCGTGCACGAACCGCACAGGACGGTCGTCTTGGCCACGAAGGGGATAGTGGCCGCTGTATCAGCGAAGCGAGCAACCACGTCATGCGCATGGAGCCCCTCATCATGCAGCTGGAGCAGCATGACCAGGCGCTGCGCTTGCTGACGGCGGACCAGGCTTCGCCGCCGTCCGCCAGCGAGGATCTGTCCGACTCCTCCGCGCGCCTCGTCGGCCTCCAGAGCACCGATCCTCTCGGCGCCCTCTGGGGCTTCCTTGGGCCGCCTGGCACCCAGACGGAGAGGCTGACCAGACAGAATTGTGGGAGTTGTGGTCCTCACGTGCCTCCCTGAGGGAACCCATCGTATCGGCGGTCTCTCGAAATGGGTGCCGAAACCGATGAGCCCCCCAGGGGGGTAGAAGGACCACAGCTCCCCCAGTGGTGGCTGGTCGGAGAGGCCGGCGGGGAACACCGCCGCAGAGGGCTCCTCCCAGGCCCCGCTGGTCGAGAGGCTGGTGCGGGAGCTCAGCACGCCCACCAACATGGATCGCATGCACCGGGCGCTGGAGCTTGGCATCGCGTAACCTGTCCCCATCCCTTCTGGGCCATGGCAGTTCAGAAGAGGACGAGTTGAGACAACGGCAGTTGGCCTTCGGAGGGGGGGAGGGGGGCCTGGTCGCCACAGCTGGGCGCAGCTTCGAAAACTCGTGTGTTTGAACACGGGGGGTTGTCTGGACTCGCGTTGCTCCGTATATCTCAGCCCCACCAGCCCACATCCCAGGTATGGGTAGGCCCCGGAAGCCCGAAGGGAACAGAGCATATCACCACCTGGAGGGGAATATAAAAAGGCCAGTGGGGCCACCGCCTTGCCAGTTGGGTTGGGGATCGGTGAAGCGATGCTCAGGAGGGGAGTGGTAATCGGGATTCTGCTTTGTTTCGCCCTGGTGTAAATACACCCGTTTCGCCTCACTCGTTAAAGTTCCCCTGTTCGATTCACCCGTCTCGGTTCACCCGTGTCAGTCCAGTTTGAATTCGCCTGGGTTGGAGTCCATCCGATTTCAATTCGCCCGCGTTTGGATTCGCCCAGTTCTAATTCGCCCGCGTTTGGATTTAATTGATTCGATTTGTCCTTTTGAATCCCCCTGTGTCGATTCGCCCTTGTATGTTCATCTCCAGTTTGATTTCGCTCAGCTTTACGTCATGCGGGTTGACTTCGCCCGAGTTTGAATTCATCCGTCTGCAGCGCGCCCGGGTTTAGATCATTCGGGTCTTACCTAATTCGCCAGATTTTTTATTCATCCGTTGGTATTCGTCCGCTGTGATTCCTGGTGGGCGACCCAGAAACGAATGATACAAACACGGGCGATCATGAAGCAGATGCAACAACCACGGGCGAAGCAAAAGCGGACGAAACAACAGCGGCCGAAACAAAAACGGATGAAGCCAAAGCGGGCGAAAGAACAACGGGTGAAATTCGAACAGGCGAATCACATGCAGAGACCTCAAACGTGTTTAACCAAAACAAAACGCGTGAGAGCTGCGCCGCAAAATGCACGGTGGCGCCATGCGAACCCTCCCACTTGGGCCTTCGATGGATGCGGCGCCACAAAACTGTGCGTAATGTCCCGGAATGTGTGCGGTGACGCCATGCGGACCCAGCCGCTCGAGCCTTTGGTGGAGCTCCCTGTGGGGCCCCGAATAGTAAAGGAGGAGAAACCGAACAAGTGAAAGGGAGGCGGATTTGTAAAGAGAACCGGGGAGGGAAAGGAAGAGGAGGAGTGGGAAGATGACGATAAGGATCGTCAAGAAACATATCATATAATACGAAGATGGGAGCTCGTTCTTCTCCACTGGCGCCGTGCGGAGCTCAGCACGGAGGGCAGCGAAACAGAGGCACGGCCCAAACAATCTCAAAAGCAAGAGCACAAGAGGATGCCTCACGAAGAGCCGATGGGTCACCCGATGCGCGAGCTTCGGCCTTCGCGCGTGCGATCGCTTCCCTGGCAGGCATATCCCTGGCAGGCATTCTCCTGGCACCCATGCACAACCAGATTGGGAGAGAGAGCCAACGAACAACGCGGCAAGTAACGATGATACACGTGCGGATCTACACAAGCTGCCACGGGCCGCTCCCCCACACGAAACGCCCATGATCGGAGTATGCTGACTTATTCATTACGAAGCTGTTCCGGAGAAGTCCCCGCAAGCAGCGGATTCCATGCCCTCCGTCCCCCGACGCACAAGCAAATGCTCCGTGGCCGCCGAGTTGAAATCGCTTAGCAAGGGCAGAGCCGCTGATCGGAGCCACAGGCGGCCACGTTCCCCATCTTCCTCCTCCTCTTCCTCCTCCTCCTCCACTTCCTCTTTCTGCATTGGTTCCTCATCCTTTTCCCCCCGTCTCCCTCCTCGTCCTCGTCTGTCAGGTCCTGTGTCTGCTTTCGCCGGCATTCACCGTCCATCGCAATGCAAACGAAATTGCGCATCAACCCGCGATGGCCCCGACCCTACCTGCGACCAGCCTGGCAGCGCCAGGCGTAGAGCAAATAGCGCGCCAACAGGCTTCAACCTGTTGGTTAGCCAGCGCGGACCTGCAACAGCGTTTTTTTCTAGGACTCTATGTTGTGCTTTCTATGTGGAACATTGTATGTGGCGCAGTCTGCTTGGAGCAGCATATGTGGTGCACTCTACGTGGTGCACTTCATGTTGTGCAAGCTACGTGGCGCAATCTAAGTGGTGCGAGCAGACATACTCATCCAAGTGGTGCGAGCTACGTGCTACGGGGTGTGAGCCAAGTGACGCAATGGATGCGGTAAGGGCAAACGCGCTCATGTATGTGGGGTGCGAGTTACGTGGTGTAACTAATGTGATGCAATCTATGTGGTAGCAGCGAACGTACTCATACATGTGATGCTAGCTATGTGATACCAGCTACGCGATGAAGTCTCTTTGGTGAAAACTAACTTGTTCATGGAGGGCAACTGGAAAAATGGCCCGCGCGCCACAAGGAACTGAAAGCATGCACTTCTACTCCGCAGTGGCAACGCAGGGCAATGCTAAGCACGGCGTAGCAGTGCGAAGCAAGGCGAAGCAACGCAAAGCAACGCAACGCAACGCAACGCAACGCGCAGCAATGAAAGGCGAGGCCAACCATCGCAATGTTTCGATGTGCAATGCAAGCCACTGGAGCGTAACGAAGAGCAGCGCAAAACAACTCAACGCAAAGCAATGCAACGAGTCTGCGACGGCCGGCACGGAACTGCCAGACCAACACACATGCCCAGTTCTTTAGCCCAGAAGTGAGAACCACCAATTGGCAGCACTGTTTGGAGAAACAGGCCCTTATTTGTTTCACCTGGATGAGAGGCACACGTTTCGATCCACCTGTTCAAGTTTGGCCGTTTCGATTCACCCGTTTCGATCCACCCAGTTGTAATCCGCTTGGGTTGAGGTGCATCCGTTCTGATTCGCCCGGGCGTACATTCTTCCGTTCCAATTCGCCCGTTTTGATTCGCCCAGTGCCAGTTGGGTCGCCCGATTGCATTCATCTCCTTGAACCCACCCGCCTTTTTTATTTGTTGGGTTTTAAATGCATCCGGTTTCAATTCGTACAGTTTTGCATGCATCCGGTTTGATCTCGCCCTGTTTGAAGTCGCCAGCATTCTTTCCGCCCGGGTTTGAATCCGCCCGTTTCGATTTGTTGTTGTTTGATTCGTCGGTCGGCATCGGTTCGCCCGCCTGAGTCCATTTTCTGGAATTCGCCCGGTTTTGATTCACCGTGATATGAATTCGTTCGGTTTGAATTTGCCAGGGTCGAAGTTCCTTTGGTTTCGATTTGCCCGCGTTTGAATTCATCCGTTTCGATGCGCCCGTTTTGATTTCCAGCGGGTGCACCATATCGAGATGAGACAAAAGCGGGCGATCTAACAGTTGATGAAACAACAGCGAGCGAATCAAAAGCGGATGAATGAGAAGCGGGCGAAGAAGACGCAGGCGAATCATATCGAATAGGAGTGAAATGGAATATATCAAAACGAAACAGGATGCAACGGAATACCAGGAAACGAAATGAACAAAACCAAAGGGTGTTCAGGTCTTTTCGAATTCAAATTCTTTACACAGTCAGCACTGAACATAATTTTGAAAAGACAGGCCCAGAAGTCCACGGCCCAGATTGTCATATATCTCGCGGCCGTTTTGGGGCGATCTTTGATTCCGTCGCAAGCCTCCCCGAAGGAGGGTCACTCTTCAGACAACAATGTGCGCTACAAGACGCCCCAGGCTGCGCGAATGAAAAACGCATGCGGGGGATACAGTTACAGACAAATCAAAGCGGAGGAACCAACAGCAGACGAACGAGGATGCCATTGAAACAGATGGAACCAACGCGGGCGAACAGAAGCGGATCAAACAACAGCTAGCAGCTAGCGGACGCCGACAGGCCCAATGATTACCAACAGGGACACCGAATGGCATTGGTTAGTATGTTACGGAAAAACCGCGTCTCTTTGCAGATAAGTCGAGAAGACAACAGTGGACGAAACAAGTGGTAGTTCGAAGCGAAAGACGACTAAACATCATAAGACGAAATGAAAGAGAACGAAGCGACGATACACGATGTTATACATTGCCAAATCCACGTGCGCGAACCGACCAGAAATGAAACGAAAGAGAAGGAATCGAACGAGGACGGAACGAAAGGGAGCGAACCGAAAGAGAACAACACGAGACAGGAGGCAACGACATTCTACGAAACAGAAACGACCGAACGGACGCGACCGTTTTCTTATTCATTGTTTTTTCGATCGGCGCGGTCTCTCGCACCCCCTCCCCTGAAGTAGATCCTGGCTGTTTTTGGCTCCTGCTTCAAGCAGGGCACTGTTGCAAACAGTCGCATTATGCAGAGGTCCGGAGCCACTCCCCCCCATCGTCTGCCCCCCCTCTTTTCCGCCCAATGTCGAAACGCCGAAGAAGAAAAAGGTGACGACTTCAAGTCCATTCGGATTCTCTACAGTCAGCGCTGAAAACATGCGGGCGGTCGCCCATAACCCAGAACCCACTGCTGAGATTCCCAAGTTTCGCGGGCGTTCCTTGGCGATTTTTGAGTCTGCCGCAAATTTTCCAGAAGGAGGGGCATCCCCCCGACAACCATGGGCGCCTCAGGACGCCCCAGCCTGCGTGAATGAAAAGCGCATGAAACAACAGTGTGCGAAACAAATACAGACAAATCAAAAGCGGATAAAGGAAAACCAGTCAACAGTGGATGAAGCAACAGCAGGTGGAACCAACATCGAAAAAAGAGAAGCGGATGAAACAGCAGCCAGTTGACACACACCAAGAGGCTCAAGAACAACAGTCAAACCGAATGGCACCATTGTCCTTGATACAGAAGCCCACCGTCTTCTCACAGACTCGCCGACGAAGCCACCGAGGACGAAACAAAAGGTCACGGAAACGAAACCACGACGAAACGAAAGATAATGGAACGAGCGAGAACTAAACGATGACAACCGAAACAATTCAGGGCCAAACGAATGAGCACGAACCGACAGAAAAATAAGCGAACCAGAA